AGCAAGTGCCGTACACTACAACTACTTGCAAGTACAACTTCCCGTCACTATGATATTGATAGTAATGTAAAAACCCGACAAGACTACATATCAGTGTATGACTGCAAGTCTGCACTGCAACATCAAGGCTGCACTGCAAGATCATAGATTCGACTAGCTCCAAGAAACGGTATTGCTAGGGTTAGAATACTACGGTGTATTGACGTTGTGTTGGTGTAGGGAGCTATGGATGGAGCTGGCAGTTGGTATATATAGGGGTTGCACCGTCAAGGTAAGTGCGAGCAGGCGATTCCAAGTTTTTCTGCGAGGTTTTTCTGCACAAGACGAATCGCCGGCCCCCCCCTCGACCGCAGGGGTAGACGAAGTTTTTGCTATAAGCAGCACGCTGGGACGATGTAATATATGCAAAAATGCTGTACGTACGCTCTCCAAACGATTTGAAAAGAAATACTCATCCAACAGCTTCGATCTTTGTTTCTATTTGAAGAACAGTGTTGACTAACTTGACTTCTTATGAAAACATAATGTCTCTGTTCGTAAGAGAACTGTGTCACGCGAAATCACACAGAGACTGACGAAATTCTCGCCACGACGCCACGCCACGAAGCGGAGCTTTTCCAGAATCCAGATAACATCGTCATAATCATAATGGCAAACATGAGAACATCAGATTGGTGCGTTAAGATGGATACGGGAAGTTCATGCGGCAGTGACGAGTGCAGGGCTAGACGGCTACCGACCTTCACTCAGCCAACTATCGTTGGCTACACTGAAGGAGTTTACGCTAGCGTGTCGAACTGTGCACCGCGCGGCAGTCTAGGTCATGGAGCCGAGCATTTAAAAAAAAAAAACTTGAAAAATGGGTACGTAGATGGACTTGTTGCGCCATCTATGGGTGGCGATAACTTCCAAATTAATGTCAGGGCATCAACCAGCGAAAAGGAAAATTATTTTTCTACACAAAAAGGACGCGCGCCGAGCCACACACCAACAAAAACGAGCATTTGGATTTTTATTCTCGCCCTACGTGCAAAGTCGAAAGGCTTCTGCAATCGCCACAACTCCTCAATTGACCGATTATAGGCCGATATGACAGAACCATGGAAATTGTTCTAAATATAGAGCAGCGAATAAGTCATCATGTCGCCGCGAGGCGGCGTTGGCGCGCTTCGCGCGGATATCCGGGCTGCAGATCGTCAAGGAATCATATCAATATACGTATATCAAGGAATGATGCAAAACTCTAATTTCTTTGTTTGTGAATTTTATATAACCATTATATTTGTTTTGTTCATATTAAATTCTAATCTTTTTGATTCAGCTAATGTGGCTAAACCGACCAGGCTCTCCGACTGTTACACGTCGTAGGAACAGTAGCCGATGTAGTTAAGAGGAATGGAACTTGTGGCTAATCTGGAGCATGAATGAGCGATTTTTTTACTGTTTTATGATCTCCAATTTCTAGAATATCGTCCATATAATCATTGTCATCTTCTAAAACTACAGACCATCCGCTGACCGCTGTGGAGACGTGCGCGCGGGCCTCGAATTTGGCGCACGTCTCCACTGCGGACAGCGCTTCATATGAGCATCCCCCGGTCGCGTGCGCATATCCCGCGGAACAGCGTGTGCGTTGTCGCGCCCTCAGCGCCTCATGATCAACAGCCTGCAAGCGAACCTTGTATCATGTCTCTCTGGTCTTTGATGCGGCCATGATGCCGAGGCGCTCGCCGAGGAATGGATCTTTTGTATTTTGGCATCCCGTAAACAGAATAATTAAGCTCCCACCTTCTTCGTTATGGACATGAATGGGGCGTCACACTGTTACCTACGTACCTGCCGTTGCTGTGCTACCGTTTTTCGCCGGCCTATTTACTTTTCCTAAATAATGAAATGCCCGGCGCATGCATTTCGCATCGAACAGGACAATTTTCTGCATTTTCACTCGCTGTCGGAAATCGACTAGTGCGTCATTCATTGAACAATTCAATAAAACACACAATTTTCGGAGGCTAATCGCGGGCTAATGTTTACATGCCACAGCGCCATCTCTTGGATGTTTTATAAGTAAATATGGGGATTTTCAATAAAATATTGCGTTTTTATATGTATTTACCACGATTTACGTATAGAAACTATATGTTATTTTACTGATTTTTCCGTATCTTCTCTTGGAGTTTTCATCGTCTTCAATGCCTTTCGGTAGGTTTTCTGCTTGATTATTATTTTGCGCAGGCACTCATTTTGGAAATCCTCCAACATTTTTACTTTTTCCTTAGTTAAGTTAGTATATCCATCTTTCACTGTTATTTAGGAAGGAATTTCAAACTGTGCATTCGTATAATTTCACTCTTGCTTCTATAGTATGATTTCCATAATTTGGCTCTTCTGCCCATGATAATATTTCCCTCGTCGTGAACCTACATTTTTAAGTTCGGACTCATCATATCGTTATAACCTCCTATATCATTAATTAAATCCCCTAGGTATGAATATTTGGTGCATTTTTGATTACTTGGTTGCCTATTAAATTCTCTATCCTTTCTTTGTTTGTGAATTTTATAACCATTGTATTTGTTTTGTTAATTCATATTAAATTCTAATCTTTTTGATTCAGCTAATCTGGAGAATGACTGAGCAATTTTTGTTACGGTTTTATAATCTCCAATTTCTACAATATCGTCAATATATAATCATTGTCATCTTCTAAAACTACAGACCATCCGCTGACCGCTATGGAGACGTGCGTTGGGCCTCGAATTTGGCGCACGTCTCCACTGCGGACAGCGCTTCATACTTCAACATCCCCGCGGTCGCGTGCGCATATCCCGCGGAACTGTGCGTCTCATCCGCGCGCAGCGCTTAGGATCAACAGCAAAGCTGTGCCACGCAATCTTGTATCATGTCTCTCTGGATATGCTGCGTGCTCAAGTACGCGCAGGTTTCCCAGTCTACAAGCTGTATATCTACCGTTGCCCCTCTAGCGGCCATCGAAGAACAGTCCCAACATTCTAACCCCTTGGTGTAGTATCTATGAACAGGTTACGAGCGTTGAACAAAGGCGAATCCTCGTTTCGCGTCTAACCTGTGTCCTGCAAGGACCTCAATATTTTGCTGTCCTGCGCTATGTGCCATCAGTCAACACTAACAACAACAACGACTGGACGAAAAAAGTAGGGTCTCGTTGACTTTCGTTGCCCTTGAATAATCACCTGGTACGCATATATAATATATTAGTTATTACCTCTAGATTACACATCATTTTGCGATTTCTCATAGGACTATACTAATTCATCTTATAAGCTATGATCCACATATTCTATCCTTGGGCCATATTCTATCCTTGGGCCATATTGTTTACAGCCGAACTTTATGAAAGGTGTTCTTTTCATATCATGTACAAATTATTGCATCATATGTGGATCATAGCATATATAAGAATCAGCGGTGCTGATCGCTCGCGCCATATTGTCTAGATTTCAGCAACCATCTTTTCAGTCAAGTCAATGTAGCTACTTTTAGAAGACGTAACTTTTAATATATACCATATTATTAAATCTTGCTTTGTAGTCTAGATGAGAACACTGGCAGCAAGATCAAGCCCGCACGTACAGCACACACGCGGCGCTATTGACTATATATACAACATGGTGTCGAACTCGCCGGCAGTCGCCGCCGCAGTTTCCACAACTCACCGTTTTAAATCAGTTACAACTCCGGTGTTCCTGCAGGTGACGCCACTTTCCAACTATAGTTGGAATCACGGAACATTGCTTAACAATATACACCCGCCAATTCAGACAACAGTTGTTATACTGCCCCAAAAGCATTTTGTAAACCTATCGCCGTGGGCATTACAGCTAGTGTGATCATAAGGCGTAAGCTGTTTGCTGAATCGGACATGGCGCGTCAAAAAATTTTAAATTGTTATAAAAATTAATTGTTGTTATTAAAATGTTGTAAATAAATCATGTCAATATTTGCGTTAATTGGACCAAAAATGTTAAACGAATAAAGATAGGAAAATACAGAAAACAGGAACATAATTAGAAAACGGATGGGATTCGATCCACCGACCTTTCGTACTTGACGCTCGAGCTCTACTTGCTACCCTATTGAGCAATATCTGAATTAAGAACTTGGAATGTGCTATGTATATGACAATACTGTGACGTCATTGAGCGACGAAACAAGCCCAACCAATAGCAGCGCTCACTACAGCCCAATGTTCTTGATTGACATAGGCAAAAAAATCACACCTCTGGCAAGTATCATTTGCTAACACTAACGTGTTAGTGTAGCGTGTGGAACTGTCGACCGGGTAGACCAGTCTACGCTGGTAAACACGGGCATGAAAGCCACATGATGCAGCCTAAGTCAATGTTAGACGTCGTTAGCTGTCACGTATTTATTATTCTTTTAGGTGTTCCTTTGCAATTTTATCACACATTTACACAAAGATAGAAGCCTTAGGCCCCTATATAGTTTGATATTAGTCTGGTAATGCAAGTGAGTTTGTTAAACGAAAACATTACTGATATTGAAGGTTCAAAAATGTCAACAAACTGAAACTAGGTGGTGTCATTTCTATAATATCTATCAATACTTTAATACTTATATCAGCCCACTGTATTCTATCTCTTATGCATTTCATATGGATTTCATGTTAGAAAACTTAATTCTTCTTTGGTCGATCTACATCCTTTTACTGTTTTATTCGAACAAGTCCTCCAGACAGTTCGCATGCTAAAGACGTAGTTATGGGCTGCTCAATTATATCTTTATTACTGGTCAAGGTACAAAAATCCGCGACGCTGCATGCATTACAAGTTTGTTCCCACTGCAAACTGAGCACATTGCTTTACAGTTAACTTCACGTACACACTTCGCAGGTACACACTTCAATATAGTCACCTGCATGAGCAGCTTAGTAAAATTGCCTTCACATTACTTTTTTATTTGTCATTGCATTATTTGTCTGCGTCTCTTTCAGATAATTACTCACACCAGCACGTCTACATGCACCAATAAACAGATCGGCACGACCATCGAAAATGTCCGTCATGCTCACCATGCGTTGACAGCAGTTCAACCGTGTGAACTTCGCAGCACATTCAACGTACATATATGTACCTAGTTATGGGCTGCTACTTTACATCTTTATTATTGGTCACTGGCAGATTTCTTTTGCGCTGCATGCAAAACCTTTTCCATTCCAACTGCAAATATCTGCTTACAAACTTCAGTACACTTTCTTACAGTTTACAACACTCTAGTGCTGTATCAAAACGTTCTGCAGAGGCTTGATATGCTCAATCTTTCTTTCAACATGCTGCATTCTTTGTCTACGTCTCTTTCAGATAATTACTCACACCAGCACTTCTACACCAATCGGCAGATTTGCACGACCATCCAAAATGTCCGTCATGCTCACCATGCGTTGACAGCAGTTCAACCGTGTGAACTTCGCAGCACATTCAACGTACGTATATGTACCTAGTTATGGGCTGCTACTTCACATCTTTATTATTGGTCACTGGCACATTTCTTTTGCGCTGCATGCAAAACCTTTTCCATTCCAACTGCAAATATCTGCTTACAAACTTCAGTACACTTTCTTACAGTTTACAACAGTCTAGTGCTGTACCAAAACGTTCTGCAGAGGCTTGATATGCTCAATCTTTCTTTCAACATGCTCTGTTGCATGTCTGCAGTTTTGCACTGTCCAGTCGACAGTTTTCAGTTCTTCGTTGCTAGTTACATCATCCTACAGTATTCCATATCTTAGCTAGTATCGATTGCTTAGTTCCACTCTTTCTAAAACATGCTCATCATATACAAGCATATTGTCGACGATGAGTCAACATCCTTTCTAACCCTAAGCATTTACTTACGTATATTGGTAATGGTATATGGCATATTCGTATTAGTATTGCTAACGATTTCATGTCAGACCGCCAATGACCAGGCCCCTAATATTACGGACATAGAAACATCATCACGCGGATTTGTATCACTTCAGTCAGGATGCAGTGTTCACTGAGCTCACCTTAGTTTACCAACATTTTATTTTCACGACTCTTCTGAAAATCTCACCGACGAGTTACCTCCAATTTTACCTATATCACTCCACACGCCTACTATATGGTTTTATTTAGCTCAATTACCTGTTAAAATGGGAAATGCGACAGACCTGATTATGCAGACGATTTACGATATAATGCACCATATGTTTCACGGACTTCTCACACTTCATGTCGCACCATGTTTTGCAATAATTATATATTGTATGTCTCGTCCATATGACGCACTAACTCGTTTTTTCCCCCATATATTTGTACCAGCTTGTTTCATATATTTTCTATTGCTTTATATGTTTCAGCACTATATTAGCAACGTGCATGAACTTATGTGTCGCGTGAACACGCAATGTAACTTATTCAACTTCGCTTCATCTTACTTCTTTCTTTGTCATTGCATGATTTATATGCCCGGCTATAATCGGTCGTATTCAACATGTTGAATATATTCTGGCGGTTTTTCATCGCTTCCATTACACTCGTCGCCGGTTGACTAAACCATAGTCTACCATAGCGATTTGGGACTGGAGCTTCGACCAGGTAGGCTACCAGTCTATGGTTGCACTAGCGCACCCAACAATAAACAATTGTTGAAACGCGATTGTTTTTACCAATCGCGCATTTCAGCAGTCCAGCAGTCAGGCGGCAGTTTAAAATCGTCAGCGAAAATATACGTTGCCGGGAAGTGCAAATATACACCCGTGTGTTCTACCCTTTAGTTATGTGCCGATAATCCATTATCATTGAAAGTTCCATAATTTGCATGCACGATGACATAATCGATTCTGCAAACGAATCATGGATTACTCGCAAAACACAACATACATAGCACTGTACTCATGATCTGTTCATTGTCCAAGAGAAACTGAAGGTGTTTCATTTCCAATCGTTTAGTAGTCCAAAATGCCCTCACAATTTTGGATACTAGTATCATGGCACAAGTAGAACAAGAAGGCTTCACCACGCATGTTACTCAATGCTAATGCAATCCGAACATCTTTGCGTTTCATCACACATGCACGCACGCAAATATGCACGCACTGATAATATGCATTCCCTTCAATTTCATGCTTCACATGTACTTTTCCTTCTTTTGCACCATTTACTTGTAATTGTATACCTTTCACTCTTTCCCCTGTGAAACATCGCTTCTTTCTCTGCTATACATTACTTAGCATTATTGAAACTAAATGTTTAGGTATGGTGTCATTCACTTGTTCATTACATTCGCCCCACTGCGATTTCCTTCTTGTAACATTTTCAAACAATTTCTGTCTGTTTCTTTCAGGCCACTACTGCGACCAGCAGGTCAACGACAATGAGCGGCTCTTTTCGGATCTGTGCCTAACAGTAGCCAATAGCATACACTGCTTTCAAATAATTCTCGGTTAGCTTCGTGTGTGTATGCTGGTGTAGTGAACATTATTTGCGGTTTATAGGTGGGATATGTGTGTGTTTGCTATTGCACGAATTGTGATAACTCACATCTGTATGAATTCCTTCTCCTACTCAATGACATGAGTACGTTGTTCGGTTTCTCTCCTTAAAAACAATAGCATACACTGGTTTCACATCTTTATGGGTTAGCTTTGTGTCTGTATGCTGTTGTAGTGAAGACTAGTTTGCAACATTTAGGGGTTGGCTATGTGTCTTGGCTACTGCAGGATTAGTATTCAGTGCAACAGCATGCACACACAAAGCTAACCCATAATGAATTAAAACCAGTGTATGCTGTTGTTTCTAAGCAAATAAACCCTACAACTGTGGAAACAAAAACACACACACACACACACACACACACACACACACACACACAAACACAATACACTCACATCAACACTCAGTGACACACACACATACACACATATTCTTTTTTACAGTGCACACACACACGCGTGCGCGCGCATGCGCGAAGGCACAGGCAACTACATGACGTTACCCTTATTATATTCACAGTAATCCAATTCTGCGATTCTAATGTATAATCGATTGCTTGCGGAAAACTCATAATCGGTGAAACTGATAATATGCATTCCCTTCAATTTCATGCTTCACATGTACTTTTTCTTCTTTTGCACCATTTACTTGTATACCTTTCACTCTTTCCCCTGTGAAACATCGCTTCGTTCTCTGCTATACATTACTTAGCATTATTGAAACTAAATGTTTAGGTATGGTGTCATTCACTTGTTTATTACATTCGCCCCACTGCCATTTCCTTCTTGTAACATTTTCAAACAATTTCTGTCTGTTTCTTTCAGGCCACTACTGCGACCAGCAGGTCAACGACAATCAGCGGCTCTTTTCGGATCTCTGCCTAACAGTAGCCAATAGCATACACTGCTTTCAAATAATTCTCGGTTAGCTTCGTGTGTGTATGCTGGTGTAGTGAACATTATTTGCGGTCTATAGGTGGGATATGTGTGTGTTTGCTATTGCACGAATTGTGATAACCCACATCTGTATGAATTCCTTCTCCTACTCAATGACATGAGTACGTTGTTCGGTTTCTCTTCTTAAAAACAATAGCATACACTGGTTTCAAATCTTTATGGGTTAGCTTTGTGTCTGTATGCTGTTGTAGTGAAGACTAGTTTGCAACCTTTAGGGGTTGGCTATGTGTCTTGGCTACTGCAGGATTAGTATTCAGTACAACAGCATGCACACACAAAGCTAACCCATAATGAATTAAAACCAGTGTATGCTATTGTTTCTAAGGAAATAAACCCTACAACTGTGGAAACAAACCCAACATGTGGGGAAGACAATTCCTGCAATAGCAAACTCACACATAGCCAACCTATACAGCGCATAGTAGTAGTTGTGGTCTTCCTTTGATTACTAGAATTATCATACATTATTTCACAATCATTATGAGTTTGGTTGGTGTTTATATGCTGTTGTAGTGTGCATGTGACTATGAACACCTTTTGTGCTGTTTGCCATCGATCCTCAACAGAGATACACTCATGTGAGTTTGTGAGACTTTCGCCACATAATGCATACAATAATAGGTTGTGCATGCGCCATTTTGGGGACCGTGCGGGTATGACAGTGGATGCACAAGTGTGTTGTGAGTGTAGCAATTACATATGCCCACGTATCCCCAAAGACCTCAATACACCTGTCTGGCGGGACGCTTGGCCTGCTGTAGTATGGACATGCCTTTCCAAACGACACTATGCAGAACCGAACACTTTCATGAAGTTCTTGGCACATGATCTCCGTGCTATCTGGATTCTTCAGATTCACTGTTGGTTGCCAGAGATGCGCTGTGCACAATGTATCCAACCAAACTTTACTGACATCACTAGCAGTCTCAGAACCTTCCAACAAGACATTGATAGTGGTGAATTGGCAAGGCTTATGTGCGCCCTCAATGATACATGCTTTCCTCAGGTTCGCTGTCCAATGGGGTGCTATATGTATGCAGATGATAGAGACAAGTTGCATTATTTGCCCGCTTCTCATTATTTGGCCTCATTCATCCCTTCCTTTGTATAATTTGGAAGCCAGGCTAACGTCTTTCAAGGCGCCAGAACTGACTGGACCACTCCCATTGCAGATTTACACTGGACAGTTTACCCTTCTCTCATTGTAGACAAAATTGACGGCCTTTGTATTTTGATGTGTTCTCCTAAAAGCCACTCCGACGGCAGAAAATCATACTTGCATGTTCCCACTCATCCTATTGTGGGGTGGCATGCACCTCAAGCCCCCGACTACTTGGCTCCGGCTGTGGTCACTGGCAAAGTCGCACGTACTGGCAGTTCTAATTTCTACAATACTTCTTTTCCTGTGTTCCACCAGGAAGGAAACAGTGGGGGTCTGTCTACTCTAAGACTTTCCACCCGTCACCCACATTTTCAGATGACTGATCACATTGCTGTTTGCAGTGGATTTACACTGGATCAGCGCCCATACATCCTACAGTATGCTATGCAGGCTCCACAGTTTGAGCAGCATGCCATTTTGGATACTCTTCATAGGTACCGCCATCAGAAGCAGCCAAAACAGGTGATTGCATCGTGTGCAGCTGCATCAACGTTTATGGATGTTGCTGATGCTTGTTTACTAACATATGCATGTAACTCACAAGCAGTTGCTGTCAATGATGACATACACCTGCAAGCAGCAGACAGAGTCACTACTACAAATCCATCTGACTGCCTATTCCTAGCACATTCGAACACTTTGGCTGGACACAAACCCTTTCACATTCTACGAGGGCAAGTGATGGCTGCACATGCAGATTTTCCTTCAACTTGGTTGTTACATGCCACCTTACAGTCCTTTTTGCATGTGCGATTGTTACACTCTTGTCTACTTCATCGTCTGTGGGAACATCGCAACTATGTACTTCATAGACAGCTTGCTGATGTCTGCAAACTTTTTGCGAACAACCACACCCCTAGTCAGATGCCAGTCACAGTATCAACTGTGAGAGAATTATGCACTGCTTTGTCTGGTTTATCCCAGGGTCTTTATGCAGAGAAAACACTAGCATGTGTCTTGAAACATCTGTGTCCGGCGATTGAGTATCTGCAGCTTGTGGATGATTGGCATTTCCCAGAAGCAAATGCAGTTGCTGCTGGTTTATTGGTTATGACACGGCAAGGAAGGCTTCGTCGCCAACAGCAAATGCCTTTGCAATCTGCAGATGGACAGTGGCAGCGGTTGTTTGGATTGTCCATTGAAATACTTCTGCATGGCAATTATGTTGAGGTTTGTTTTTGTTGGGCTCCAGGTTTTGGGTGGCAATGCACTGGAACACGAGAACATGACAGACCAGCATCTCTCATGCGCTTTCTCATTTACGGCACTCAAGCAAAACTAGAGCAAGCTAGAGAGGATGTCTTGCGCACATGTGGTGGCTAATCAAAAGTGGTCTGTCTGCATCCTGGTCAATATCTGCTACGTGAAGAAAGAGGGTGCCTACTTCCTTGTTGTGACCGTGCATGCACCACTGGCATTCGTTGGCGCTGTCCACAAGGTCTTGGTTATGTACAGTGTACTGTTGGGTTGTGTCTGCATCATTTACGTCTGTGCATAAACGCTGTTGACAATGGTCATGTTTCTGTAGCTTTGTACGGCCCGTTTATGCAAGAAGGGCGTGCTGAAAGGGTTCCTCTCTTTGGTTCAGATGATCATGATGGGAACATTGCTGAAGACGATGGGAACATTGCTAAAGACCATATGTTCGCTCTCACTGCTAATGAAAGTGACTTGGATGATGTGCCTTGCAACCCTCTACAAAGGTATGCTGTTGGTCGATATTAAGCTGCAGCTGATACATGTGCCACCATCACATCTTCCCCAGATGCTTCTTGCTTCCTTTCAGGAAATAGTTCAAATGGAACACTCGGACATTATTTGCTGAATAATCATTTGCAAGTTTTACACCACAAGTCATCAAAGTCCCACAAGCTACCAGTTGCAGCGCAAAAAATCCTTCAGCAAATATGTGCTCGTACGCCAGAATGGACTGTCCCCCTCATATATCCTGAGGCCCAGTTATTTCCACGAATCTTTTGGAATATGCGTGGGAATGCAGTTGCGGGTGCCTTGCCAGCCATCATGTTTACCGCTCAACAGTCGGTCAAACACCTTAATGTTGCATCACTCACAGACCACATGTATGTGCGTTTGATGGATGGGAGTCTTCTCACATCACGCGATACTGCATATCTGCAGTTCATTTTTGATGTGCGGCTTAACACTGCTCTTAATTGGAACTCGGCAACAATTGCTTGTAGAAAAGGTCTGGAGCACCTTACACACGGACACAGCGCACACGGTTTGCATGGCCAAGAAACCATTCTGCACTTAGATGAGTTAGATGCTCGTCGGGAAGTGAAACGTTTGTCCGCGTTACTACGCTCTGAGGGGGCCTGGCATTACTTTGTCACATTAACATGTAACGACAGTGCTACCATGGGTGTTTGGCCTATTCGTGCAGCAATTGTCAGCTCCTCTGATGCTCTCACTAGAGATGCCATGCTGCAGAACTATGCGGTTATTATGTGCAGAGCTTGGGAAAGAACAACCCGTTACCTATGGAACTACATCCTATACAGCCATGAGCGTCCACTTGGCCATGTCAAGTGTGGTTGGATGCGATATGAATTTCAAAGTGCTGGAGCATTAGGAAATTGCCCTCGCATTCACGGAGGTGTGACTTTGCATGTCGAACCTGAGGAGGTTTCACTCAGCCGGATCAGGTGTTCAATGAAGCACATGTTTACAGAAGATGCCCGCACTGATTTGGAAACATTGCTCCAGCTTGGCATTGCTAAAAACCAAGAAGACTTTCAGAGATTGTATTGTCTGGCAAAGTGTTTGCAGACACATGATTGCAACAAGGCTGGAGGTCGCTACAAAAAGCGGCGTGCTGCTGACGATTCCTTGATTTGTCGAGTTCAACATCATCCGGCCAGCTGCAAATACAACTTTGATGAAAAAGAAGACCTCTATGATTCGGAAACTTTGAATAGACTTCAATATTTGGATCTTGGGGATATGATCCCATTGCGCATGAATGGAAACCAGACAAAGCATTTGGGTTGGTAGGTGGCAATATCCGGCTGAACCTGCTGAACATTTTATTCCAACCATGCCTCTGCTGTTTGTTGCAATGCAGGCATGCACAAATGTCCAGTACTGTGAGCGGAAATTTCAAGTGGCATATTTGGCTAAATATGCAGCAGGCATAGACGAAAAGCCAGAGGTTAGTTTTACTTTTTCACGTGTTGACCCTAGGATTATTGATGCTGAAGTTCACAACCTGGTAAATGCCAAAATTTCTGGCCAGGCCATTGCCCATCGAAAAAATCGTTCCTCCACACTTGCCCGCCAGATTGCTCTTACTGAAATGATTTGGTTCAGTGCTGGCCTCCCATACGTTTGCTATCCGACTGATATTACTTCAGTTTCCAATATGCCTCAAGAGTACCGTGCTTCCATTTACAAACAAGCTGGTCATGTTACAAGAGTAGAAGGTGGCGGAGGCCTCTTGCATCCAGTAGAAGCTCGGCGTCATTTACCACCTTGGCGACATTTCACTGCAACCCAAGAACTCACTATGCTGGATTATGCCAGGGGCACATACTGTTTGGATGCAACAACAGGTTTCTCACTTAGGCCACCTGAGCTAGTAATTTTCAATAATCTGGAGCAGTATGCCAAATGGTTCAGCTTTCAACGAAGGTACACTGAATATGCTGCTGAGAATGATCTCGCCTCCAGTCTCTGGATTGATGGTGCTTGTCGTCATGTTCGTTTGCGCAGGGCTTATGTTTCTTCAGCATGTCACTATATCCATGCCATGCAGCATGATCGTCAATGGGGATTTCAAGCTTGAGATTTGCACAATAGTCTATTTGCTTAGGTTGAGGTTGAACACAACAACCACCAGGTAGGCAATGATTATTCCGACTTCTACTTGCGCTTTGTGGATGCTGGGAAAACGAGGTTGAATATTGTTGTATTCACACAGGTCACCCCTACACAGTTTCCACGCTTCCTTATTCATTTGATGTTGTCAACAGGACGCTTCATCACAGAACTGGACTTATACAGTGCGCCCTCAATGCTCCATGCCTTCCGCATGTGTGGTTTGCTTGCCAATCATGATCCAACCGAAGATGATGTCAAATCTGTTGCAAGAAAATATGTACAAGGGCAGTTGCAGTGGTTAGCGATAGGCACACGGCGCTTCTCAAGGCTTCTCCTTTTTCTAATAGAAGGACCTCAGCGATTCCTGCTTCACAGGGAAATTGCATACGATTCTCTCCCATTATGGCTTGAGCGTGCTATGGTACAAAATGCGAGTGAAGAAGTCTTGC